ACTAATGCACGGAAATCGTTCTGATTTTCCCAAACTCTAGTTTGTGACAATTGTGAGTGGTTTTACTTTCGGTTCTAAAAATTAAATAGTCTTATGGAAGTGATAAGGGACTTTGTATCTTAAATGAGTAATGGATTGAAGAAGTTGAATGGATGCGACGTTCCAACGTGTCTGTGGATAAGTTCAAAATTGGGCGCGTGAAGTAGAAAAGGCACCTAAACCTTCGTCGTACGCTATGTATCTGGGGAAAACCAAGCTGTCAAATCCCGCTTTTCCAGGCACTTTTTCAGAGATCGTTTCATCATTATATAAGATTTTTTCTCTCTCATGGGAATCGTATATAAAGGATTTCTCGCTCAACTGTAGCATTTATCACACTCCACTTCTCACAACCAAACCGGCGCTTTTTAACAACTGTTCATCTTCTTCACAAAGCTCTACAATGGCGGATTCTTCATCTCTTTAGGATCAAACGGCATCGTCATCCATGCTTTCGATCAAGCCCAACCAGAATATGATCATTCAGATGACTCCATTCTTGTATGATCATTACATGCTTCAAGTAGTATAATGTCTAAAGTATTCCCCTCTCGTCATTGCTCTAACTCAAGTGGAATCTGTTCCCATGTCACTCCTGTCTCAAGTTTACTCCACAGCAACTTACGATAAAATAAAGGAGCGCATCTACTTTCAGATTCATTCTCACAAAGCTTCGATTTCAAAAGGATAATTTTGCTCTCTTCTAGGGCTTGTAGTAGATGCCTCAGTTATCTCACCAGATTTCATCACCACAACTCAACTATTCTCGATGTTTTATGAGATGGGATACATAGAGGTCCTTACCTCCTTCACCAAGTTCAAGAAGTCTCGCTTACCTCCACAATGGAATGGGTTGCTCTCCCTTCTTCACAAAGGATTGGTTGAACATGTTAGTGGCCCTGATGGGTCAAACAAATGCTTTATGATGATCATGTACGGTATCTACAATGGGATCAACGTGGACTACGGGTCTTTGATCTAGTCCCAACTGGTACAGAGTTTTTCCTCTTCGATCAGTCATTCTGAAATTTCATGTGGTCGGTTTTGGACCATCGTCGCACAACGGGATATAACCTCCCTCAATGTACCAGTTATGAAGAATTCTCTGTTTTCCTCTATTTCCTCATCTCATACCAAAAAGATTATTGTGTCTGATCCAACCAAGTTTTTGCACAATGGCTCAATTCCGGAAACCATGTATTGGTCTGTCTCTCAAGAAAGTAAACTCATATCTGATTATAAATTGCTTCCTCCCAAGAGTCCTCGTCAACTAACTCCAGAGATGCAACTGCATTAGCCGATGTGGAGAAACTTACAAAGCGAGGAAAGAAGGCAGTTGTCAAGAAAGAAGCAACTGAAGAGCCCTCTTCCAAACCAACTATGGCAAAGAACGAAAAGATGACAACTGTGATTCCTCTACACCCAAGAAAGTCAAGAAAATGGCTCGCCGAAAACGAACTCCTTCACCTTCACATTCCGAACAGAAACAAGAGCAGTCTGCAGGTGAAGAAGAGGAAGAGCAACATGAAGGTTCACCAAGGGGTAATACACCTCCTCGGCCTCCAACTTCGATGGATTTTGTCGATGATTCTGTTCCTACACCCCCTTCATATCCTCCCAAGACAACAGTTCAAGATTCGGTTCCACCTCCACATGTATTTCAACCTGCTTCAACAATTGCTTCACCACCACTTGTTACTTTTCCTCCCATCATCACTGCTTCAATATCAACTCCATCATCACCTCTACCACAAATCCTTCTGTCAACATCAACACATCTAATGTGGGGGCGAAAGCTGAAGAACACCCTAAAGACACAACCGAGCTGATTTCCCCAACTTTTTCTGCTGATTCTAATCCAGTTCTTGGAGGAGCTAAGTTTGAGTTTGATTCCATTTACTATAGCCCCTACCGAATCCCCAGTGAGGAAGATGAATCTACTCCTGTAACCAAGCAACAAATCGACAGTATTCACGAAAAGCTTGATACACTGATAGATTCCACCAAAAAGTATAATGATGTTGTTCTCAAAGCATTCATGGATACAACCCTTCACCAATATACAGAATCAATTGAAAAATGTACTGTGGTTGTGGATGATTCTACTTCTATGTGCAAAAGATCCACCTCTGAGGTTAAAGATCTTCTCCGTGACTCTCAGGTTTTTCTTGACTCTTTCAAAGGTCATGCTGGTTCAAATGTTGCCAAGGTCACAGAGTCCATCAGTTCGCTTTCTCAATACCTTCAAGCCGAACAGACCAAGTTTGAGAATGTCCGTTCCGACATCTCTGCTGACAACAAGAACTTCTTGTCTTCCACTGACTGTCGGTTTGAAAAGCTCACCGCTGATCTTCTCATAGAAAGGCAACTAAGAGATGATCTTGCCCAAAAGACTGCTATTAATGCGGTACAGAAAGCAGAACGTGAAGTTTCTTTGTTGAAAACCGAAAGAGCTGTGTTTCGCATTTGTGCTGGTGATGTTCTGTCACAATTACACAATGTGCTTCATGCTCACGATCCCATTCTCACGCTCACTATTCGCAATCATCTGACCTCCAAACTCCTTCCTTCACTTGAACTCTTACAAGAAATGAAGGGTGTTTCGGAGAGAATTGTTCCTCCGCAACAAGAGGGAGAAGAAGAGAAGCCACAACCAATTCCTATTAAAATGAAGGTCAAAACCAAATCGGAGGATAATTTAGCTTTGGGTTCTGGTATCAAAGAGAAGAAAAAGCGTGTTATTGGTGAAAACGATGAAAGTGATGAGGATCAAGAAATTATCTCTGAGATCCTGAAACGAAAGAAGAGGGATGAGGAGATTGATGAAACTCTTCAGGTTGCTAAGGAAGCTGAGGAAAGAGAGAAGTAAAAGAAAGAAGAGGATGATGCATTAAGTTGCAAGAAGATGTTGTTCCTTCCTTGGACTAAGGAGACACTGATCAAAGAAGCCATAGAGTCTCCAAGCACACTCTGGTTGGAACCTGTGACTTCATTTGATTGTGATAATACAAGGGATTCACAGTTCGATTTGCCTATAACCCGAAAGGCATTTGTTTTTCACTGCTTTGATTCAACTATTGAAGTTCCTTCTCCTCGTCCTCAACTTGACCGTGAACTGATTGATTTTTACCTCAAGTTCGGTCAGCCTCAATATCTGACTTGGCGTGCTCAGAAGATTTCTATTGTTAAGGTGTTGAAGCTATCGCCTGCAGGGAAATTTATCAATGTCTCTTTCAAGATAACTAGAGGTTCGGATAACTCGGTTTCTGTCATCTCCCTTGCAGATCTTCCCAACCTAAATCTACATGATTGGATCCTGCTGTTCAACATTCTGCTCACTAATGCAAAGGAGTATGGACCAATTTTGGAGCATCTAAAACGAATGATAGCTTGTCATATCCATGAGGTGGCGAAAATGCATCAGAAAGTGGCCAATGTCCTGAGAAAGAAACCGACGGTGAAGCCAACTGCAAAGCCAGGAGACGTCAACAAAATGACTCTTGGTCAAATAGATTATGCTCACCTGAGGGTTATGTTTACAAGAGCCAAAGGGGAATAGTTTTTGTTTGCTCTGGTGGATAAACACTTGTTCTCTACTGACTGCCTAGAGCACATTATCAATATTATTCATCGATGCAAGGCGATTTCCGAGTTAGATAAGAAGAACTTTACAGACATGCTCCGGTGGTATATTACTTTCAGACAAACTCTTTTGGCCATTATACGGGGTGTGTTCAAGACTGTGAAGAAGTCAGTAATAGCTCAACCGAACTGAGCTCTCGGCTCCATTGACGCAAAGGGGGAGATTGTTGAGTATTAAGTGTTGCGTCATGGGCTAGTATTTTGTATATACGGTTTGGGTCTGTCCAACCGTGATTTAGGTTAATGTAGTATTATAAATAGTGCATGCATGTATGCCTTAAATATTCTAGAAGTTTGATTATCGTTTTGGATTGTAACCCTAAACACCTCTACAGTCGAAGTTCTTCATCGAGCTCTTCTGGGGTGTTAAAGATTAATCATTCGACATCGTTCAAATCATTCTTGTGTTCTTATTGTTTCGTTTATTGTTTTTCTGCTTGAATATATCGATCATTAAGGTATATTATTCCAATATATATATATATATATATATATATATATATATATATGTGTGTGTGTGTGTGTGTGTGTGTCTGTAAATCCTAGTATCAAATGCAGGGTTGGAAGAATTATCCACTTGAAGTTTGACTATTGTGTTTGGGTTTCGACTTTGAACCTCCAGTAGATAGTCCCTCAATATAGAAAATTGACCCCCAAAATCACCCCTAATACTTTCTAGGGCTTTTGATTTTGCCCTAAACACTTTCATGTCCGACATCTGAATTTGGTATTTCCTCTCTAGCTGCTCCTTTAAAGCCCTGATTAGTATTTCTAGGTTAGACTCCAACTGCTCAAGAATTTTTTTGCAAAGAAACTTGTAACTACAAGCTTTGATTTTTCTTGTTGGGAGACATTTATGCTCCTTTTCATACATTTTCACTGTCCAATCATTCATCCTTTTTCCATTTACTTACTAAAAGTTTCCAAGGGCACTTATTGCTTTCATCTACTTTCACTGCACTTTTCTTTTTTACTTGGTCCTCCTTTTTCACCCGTTTGACTGGGTCCACCATTTATGTTCCTTTGACATGGCCCACCTTTCCCACTAGTTTTACTTGGTCCACCTATCCCAGAAGTCTTAAGTATCCCCATATCTGGTACTGTTCTTTTACATACTACCCTGACCTTGTTTTTATCATTCTTGACAATATCTAATTCTCTTCTTGTCTCTATTACATGCAAGTAAATTATGTCTTTTGCTTCCTGAGAACTTGAGAATGTTTGAAGTATGTAGAAAAAGGGTCACTCACTTTAGCTATATCATTTATCTATGCTCTTTCAACAGCCTGAATTTTATTTCTTCTTTTACTCATTTTCCCTTAATCAGACGATGACTCAGATTGTAGAACATCAGTGTTGATCACCTCCATCTCCCCATCAGACATTACTACATTCTCTGTTGTAATAGGAGCATCACCAATCCACTCCAAATTATCATCAATGTTGAGGTAGAAATCATGCATGTCCACCTCAGAATCATCCAACAAGTTATCCTCATCCACAATGAAATCACTATCATCACTATCACTGGATTCTCCAACCCTCACTATCACTAGATTCACCTAGGGCTTCACTAAATGGTTCCATAATAGGGGTTCCATGTTTGGTTCTTTCACAAATTTAACTTCAATATGGGATTCCATTCTAGGGGGTGAAACATGTGCAATATCAATATGACTAGGGGATTCCATGTTAGGTTCCATTGTAGGGGTTTGCATGCTTGGTCCTAAAACAGGGGGTTCAACGGTGGTTGTGTCAATCCATTCGAGACACAACCTTCTAGAACAATAAGGGGGTTCAACAATCTCTTCAATCCTAAGTTTTGAAGGGTTAGGAGACATAGCATATGTATGCAAGTTGGTACGCCAAAATTTTGTATACACTTCTGTAAGCTTATGTGAAGCAACGTAGGACCTTAAGTGGTTGAAATCTTGATCACTATCCAATGCAAACAACCCAAAATCTAAATCCCCTAACGGTCGTTTAAAGTGATAATACATAACCTTACCTTCTTCAACGCAACCCAACTCCTCCATCATATCATCAATGTCATAAACAGAGAACAAATCACTGTTGATCAAGTCCACAAATTTGTGTTGTCCCTTGATGTATTTTCTCCCAGGAAATTTGGTAAACTCCCCCCCCCCCCCCCCCCCACCCCATAGTGCAAGCGTATACTAAAAACAGTTGGATTCCCACCTTCACAAGAAAAAAACAATAATATTTTCAAAATCAGAGACAAAATAAACAAGAACAGGGCATAAAATGGTTGGCTTTCCTTACTGTAACTTGCTTCCAAATCGATTTCATCCATCTATTGTTGTATTCACCACCTACTCATCTTCACTCTTGACGAAAAACTAGGGTTTTTGTCAGACGAGAAAGGTTTTGATCGGAGACTGGGTATGAAATATTTGGGTGAACTGGATATGGCACCATACGCAGTTGATAATATACACACGACATGAAATAATGAAAATACCCCTGTGTGCAAGGCATGTGGGGAACCCAAACGGAGAAAACTAATGTCTTACGACAATAGGGACTGGGTGGGTAGTATTTAAATACATGAGGGACGATCCAAGTTAATTTTCAAAAATAGATACTGAACGTGCAATTTACCACCTGGACCAGGGACGATTCATGTAATTTACTCAAAAAATATTGAAACAACCTCAAAGACAAATTGGTAATTTAAATATTTTGTTTTATTGTGTTGTAGTCTTAACATTTAACAAATGCTACGCAACCGGTTATGTATGTTTTCGTTCAATCAATTTTCGTTAAAGTTTAGTTTCATTTATCAAATGTTATGTTGTATTATAGATTAAACATATATAAATTATTGAAATATACTATGAAATAGGGAAGAATCCTGCGCTGTAGGGTTGGTTATGCAATTGAGTTAATCTAGATGTTACATTTCATCTAAAAAAAAATATAAATCATCCTTGTATCTTTTGGGTTTCTTCTGAAGGATTCCATGTACGGCTTCATCACATCTTCGTATTATGTTCAATAAAACATTCATTCCCTAACACGGTTCAGGTCCTTTAATCATGTGTTAACATGATGTCACCTATAAAATAATTCAATTTAGGCAACAAACTTTACCTAAATGCTAGAAAGAATCAATATAGTAGTAGTAGTAGTAGTACCACAGGGTCTTCTGCCACATCGATCATGACATAAACCACAAACTTGTTCTTGTTCATCAAAGGGTTTTGACTGATTTTCCCTCCTTGCAACAACAATCTTGGAATACACCACAAGATAAGGATGATCAACAACATGAAATATTAATATTATATATATATATATATATATATATATATATATATATATATATATATATTAAATGTATACTACATGAAATAGCATTAAAAACTCAAAAACAAAATGTCAATATAATCATATTTTTATATGTACGTCTCGCAAGCATGTTAAGAGGTGAAAAATATTAGCATAATTGTTCATCAATGTTCCTGCTTCAACATATATGCAAATCAAAAACAATTCCATAAACAAATTTATGCAAAATATGTTTTTAAGATATAAAATACCAAAACAATTATTAGGGTTCCACAATAAACATTAACAATAGTCCAAAAAGTAGTATTTAAGGGTAGATGGGCAATTCCAACACATAAATTACCAAAATGACATTAATATAAGAGTATATTATAAAAACGAAAAGAGTAAAATCTTATCATACATAAATAAATTATTCCATATTTTAGCTAGATGAGTTCAGGCTTCTAACTGTTATAGACTTACAAAATAGAATCATCCTCTAGATTTTAACTAAATACAAATATGATAAAGAAAGAAAATAATTATCTTATAGAACCAATTTAATCCAAAAATACAAATCCTAATTTGATCTAAAATCAATAACCAACAGCATGCTTATAAGAGCAGTTTAAACTTTTAAGTAAGAAAACAAAATCAAGATACTACAATTCTCAAATTATTTGTCTAAAATCTATAGTCTTTATGATGTTACCCTGATTTTGTTATGCTCTAAAATTTTCTAATATCTAGACTTTCTTTAATAACTTAATTATTTTTCCTCATTTGCATTATAAACAACTACTCCATGCCCAATAAGATCTTACTAGTAGCTATATTGGAAGCTTATGATCATAAAGGAAGATAGTAAACTCTTCATCCCATACAAGATCACATCCCTCTTTATTAGCACTTGTAGGTAAAAGAAACAGGAGACATATATTAAAATTTTAATTCTTTAAATATTAAAGTAGAACCACTAAAAAACTGTAAATTTTTTGAAAGGTTCTTGTTTCCTAAAATAAAATAATGTGCCTCATTGAGGCTTTTCATCGAATACGGTAAGTGCAAGTTTAAACAATATAATAAACTTGTGGAAAACATACCGTTAGTAAGGATGAGGCTTCCTTCACCTCCATTTAGATCACCTTCCCCACCACCAAAAACATATTCACATATCAAAACCTGGAAATAGAGAGATGTATGAAGTTAAAATGCATAAATAACTAATTAAACAATATTATGTATGCCCAAAAAGGCAAGAAATGTATTATTATATCTTGCTGTGAAACTTACTATGGTATTTGGTGGTGTACCCTCGTTATAACCCTACGTAATTAGATAAATAGCAAAATGAGTATGTGAGGAAAAATAAGTTTACAGATATGTATAAACTTCATCCATTTCTTGTTCAGTTGTCTAACCTCTACGTCTCTTCAATTTCAAGATCTCCATCTCATAAAACCCTAGCTCATTCAATTGATTTACCGAAATTACTGGTAAATTGTCTCATTTCGTACACATTTCTTACTACATATTGTCATAAACAATCATTACATCTTAAAATCGATGTACTGGATGTGGTTTAGTGTATGTTAAATTTAGTAGTTTGACTTTTGTTCAAAAACAGTGTAGAATCTAGCAATCAGGGACCTATTTGTTGCGATCAGTGGATTGATCAGTTGAAGTAATCGAGTGATCTGGTTAAATACCTTTTGAAGCTCTCTTCAAGACTTTAGCATTATACAAAGCTTTGATTTCAATAGTATGCTTCACGTACCGATGAGGATTGAGGATCAGTTACTTCTGAGAGCAATCAAGGAAGAATGCTCGTGGGAGGGTCTCCATAAGCATCTCCAGTCGACTCTAAACTCCAAGGATGAATGGCATAGAAGGTAAGTTTGCTAACTACCATTAGCTTCTTCTGCATCTGCGCTTTGGTGCCGACAGCAGTAGCGACACATTGATCGGGTTAGGGGGAGAAGCTATCAATTAAGAGAAATCAAAATCTGGAGGCGAGGTCAGGTTGGGTCGTGCAGACTATGGTGTCGGTCGTGTCTACGGCAGCGGGTACCCTGAATCCATAAAGCTTGAGATGATTAAGAAAAGTAGAGAAGAAGGAGATGAGACGGTGAAAGGTTTAAGAAGTTGAAATTAAGGGGTGAAGAGGACACTGATCCCAATTTTATTATTTAGAGAGGGCGGTGGAATAAAAAGATTAAAAAAAGAAAAAAAAAATCCCACCAAAAAATTAAAGCGAAAAAAAAATAAAAAAAATAAAGGTTGTCCAAAAAGAACTCATGTTCACCAAATTGAGTCTATATATACAATATAGAAATATACATTAATATATTTTTTTGGAACGATTGAATTTTATTAAGCTAGCAATGATTAATAATTTAGTGGTATCAAATAATATATTTTTATGTTAAAGGTTTTTAATATTTGTCATATATATATATATATATATATATATATATATATATATATATATATATATATATATATATATATATATATATATATATATATGTGGATTAAGTTATTTTGTTTTTACAAACTATTGTGTGCCAGAATGCAAAAAATCTAGACCAACGGATGGAATAGAATCAAATGTCGTGATCTGAGGGTCTATGATATCACAATAGGGTAACATGTACCATATAATCACACAAATTCCAGCATAATGACATTTTAGTCAATTAACCCATAATAAAAAAGGAAATTTTTGGATTTTTTGGGATAATTAATTCCTTTATTTTTAAAAATCTGAATATTTTAAATTAATTCAAATTTAAAAATCTGATTTTATTCTGTCAGAATGTCAAACATTAATTAGTAAATATATTTTAGATTTATTCTTGCGGAATATATTTCCAATGTATATCTTTTTTATAATTAACCTGATTTAAGAATTCAACATATATTCTTCATATACATCTGAACTTGAATACAAAATCATATATATTCTTATGAACTAATAGTCTTATACAATTTAATATAGTTATACATATTCTAACAGAATATCATCAACAATGAATAAAATTGTTAAGAAATAACCTTCTTAAATATACAATTGTTGAGCAAATACAATTGATCTTCATCAATGGTCCATATAATCCACTTGATTCAAACTATGACGAAAATATGATGTATTATCGTAAGAATATAATTCTTTGCAAAATATACTTGTTGTTGAACTCGATTCCAAATCTTTCTCTTATATGATCGATATTGAATTCCTTCTTCAAGCCATTCTGAAAGAATAACATGCATTACTCGTTAGTATTACTAGTGAAGTTCATGTATTTGTTGTTAACAAACATTCTCAAAGATATTCTAACGGAATGCATTTATATAAATAAATTCCGATAGAATACAAGTGCTACTTATTTAATATAAACTATATAATTTAGAATTATAGCATATTCTAACAGAATGTGTTTCATTTTCCTATCTTTCAATGTTTTTTACTTTTCCTATCTTGACAAATAAGGAGATTGAAATCGCATTCTGTTAGAATAATATACATTCTAAAAGTTTAGATAGAATACATACCACATGACCAAATTCTCTTTTAGGTATTTCCACAAGCACCTTTCGTGCAACATATATAGATAATAGATAATCAAAGCTCAAAGTATTTAAAAAAAAGATCCAGCAAGTGAAACAGATTTAAAAAGCAAAAGCAAAATTCTTTTTTATGCATTTCTACAAACACCTATTGTGCAACTTATGAATATAAATA